AGGAGTTTGTAATAAATTCGAGAAGACAATAAATTCAATTCCAGCTTTAACCAGCAAAGAAAACGTATTGCTTCGTACGACCGTGAAATATCACAGTCAAGAAGTTAAAGTCCAGTACGGACTTTACACTACTTAATAGATATGTAATATAGAAATATTGACTTATTTTCAGATTTTTAATTGCATACATAGATATCGGCTTTTTTACCACTGTAGCAGCAAACTGATTTAATAAAAAATGCTCCATTTGCAAAATAAAAGCATTTTAAGATTGCAATCGTATACACAACCAATGAGAACGACCCAAATTTGAGTTTAGTTTACTGCTAATCGCAAAAAGTGCAGGAAGTCATCGATGAGTAAATTTTCCTCACGTTTTCCTAAGGAAAACCTCAAAAATCTGCCAAAAAACCGAGCAAAAAACGAGGAAAATTTTCAAATATTTTAATCAGTCTAGTACCAATAGACAAAGTGCATTCAATCTGTACTTTTCTCATTTTCGGGATTTTTTTCCTGAAAAAAAAACCTGGAAAAATATGACGCAAATTTACTCATCGCATGAGTTTCTGTATTTTTTACGATATGAGTAAACTTAATTCAAAATTGGGTTGTTCTTCTTAGTCGTGTACCTCCCCGTGGAAATCATCACTTCCATTATAATTATTCTTCTTCTCTCTACGGCAGCCAACTAGACATGTAATTTAAACAATTTAATTATTAATATTTTTAGTTGTGTACATAGATTTCAATTTTTCTACGATTGTAGTTGTAAGTAGATTTTAAATAAATATAAATTTAATAATCTATTTGCAAAATAAAAGCATTTTAAAATTGCACTCTGGTACCACTCCGTGATTTTTTGAAATTATTGTCGCTTACAAACCCTTATAAAAAATAACCATAAACGAACGATAACCCAAATCATCGAACTATTCAACAAATGGTTTGGATGATACTCAGAACACGTCGTTAAGCAAATTAACCATACAATTTTTATTAGGGAAGCTCTTCTATTCTCCACGGGGACTATCTTTGATTTGCCAATCGATTTTCCTCATTATTCGAAAAGTTTTTCCTGGTAAAGCCTGCACGGCGAATAAGAACGCCTCAAATTTGAGTTTAGTTCACTCATAATCGCCAAAAGTGCAGGAACTCAGCGATGAGTAAAATTTGTCTCATGGTTTCCTGTGGAAAACCTCAAAAATCTGCCGGAAAATGAGGACATGACGAAAATTTTATTCAGTCTTGGAGTAGTACCAATAGACTGAGTGAATCCAATCTTTACTTTTCTCAAATTCGATTATGAGTGAACTAAACTCAAATTTGGGTTGTTCTCATTCGCCGTGTGAAAATTTCAACTCACTTATGAGTAAACCCCGAGGTAAATCCACTTTTGATGAAATTTAGTCGACTCCACTCAATTTGGATGTGGTCAGATCGAACGTGCGTTTGGTGAGAATGGAAGCTTTTAAGCTTTCGACAAGTGCAAGGACAATGAAAGTAACTCACAATTTCTGAGTAACATTGTATTGGAAGATTGCCGTAAAAGCTCAACGCAGATGTCGCCACTGCATGATGATGATAATGTCAACATATGCATATAAAATTCGTGAAAATTAGCGTTAAATCATAATTTTCATCAAGCCTGTGTAAAATCCTTACAATATAACAATTGAATTGAAGAAGAAAACGTTTTTACGATCAGACTGATGTGCATCTTTGACTTTTCCAGTTGAACTTTTATAAGATATATTAATTTCATTTCGCGGCTCCATCAATGCTGCATCGTAAATATGATGTAAACAGAAGTAAATTGCTCAATTACTCAAAATAAAGATGATTTGTCATCTTGTTATCACTTTGAATACCATCTAGCACCATTTTATAGTGTGATACGTGTTGAGTAAAGCAAGTTCCGGTGCGTTTTCCGTCGAAAATTGTGAGTATCAATTTTTTTTTTTTTTTTTTTTTTCTTTATTATAGAGATTTTTAGCCTGAGGCTAGTTCATCTCTTTGTGAGTATCAATATGTTTGCTTAAAAATGGCCAAAATGAACATTTATTGAATATTGGCGTCCTATACAACCAATTCTCTATTATCACCAGCATGATACAACCTTTCCTAAGTAAATTCGCTTAATTTCCACTTTCATCTTAGTGGAAATCGCACATATTCGCCTTTTTTCGAAAAATGCAGCTGCGCAGGAGGTAACCTCTCCCTGTGGGTGCAAACTTGTTATGGATAATTTGCCATGAAAACATCTCCGATCCGTACCGAAATAATAACAAATAGTTTTCAAACACGTTTTCTTACACGATTCAAGCAAATGGCCAATTGGCGTCTTGCAGTGAAACTTTTTCAAGCTTTCGCCACCTACATTTCGAAGTGAGAACTACTAGAAGGAGGATAGTTTCCAAATTTTCCAAGTAAAACAGATGCTTTTTGGGGCAAATCGGTCCATAAAGAAAAACTAATAATTTCCCGTGGAAACATTTGCTTGAATCGTGTAAAAAAACGTGTTTGAAAACTATTTGTTATTATTTCGGTACGGATCGGAGATGTTTTCATGGCAAATTATCCATAACAAGTTTGCACCCACAGGGAGAGGTTACCTCCTGCGCAGCTGCATTTTTCGAAAAAAGGCGAATATGTGTGATTTCCACTAAGATGAAAGTGGAAATTAAGTGAATTTACTTAGGAAAGGTTGTATCATGCTGGTGATAATAGAGAATTGGTTGTATAGGACGCCAATATTCAATAAATGTTCATTTTGGCCGTTTTTAAGCAAACATATTGATACTCACAATTTTCGACGGAAAACGCACCGGAACTTGCTTTACTCAACACGTATCACACTATAAAATGGTGCTAGATGGTATTCAAAGTGATAACAAGATGACAAATCATCTTTATTTTGAGTAATTGAGCAATTTACTTCTGTTTACATCATATTTACGATGCAGCATTGATGGAGCCGCGAAATGAAACTAATATATCTTATAAAAGTTCAACTGGAAAAGTCAAAGATGCACATCAGTCTGATCGTAAAAACGTTTTCTTCTTCAATTCAAATGTTATATTGTAAGGATTTTACACAGGCTTGATGAAAATTATGATTTAACGCTAATTTTCACGAATTTTATATGCAGTCTGTCAACATTATCATCATCATGCAGTGGCGACATCTGCGTTGAGCTTTTACGGCAATCTTCCAATTGCTATCTCTTATTTTTCACGTAAATTTTATTCAGTTTCATATAAAGTGGATTTAATCACATCTATTTCTCCAGTTTTTACCAAATGGAGTAGAAATTGCGAGTGCAAAATAGAGATAGCAATACATTTATATTCAGTCTGTGAGTTACTTTCATCGTTCGTGTAGAATGCTCGGAGGAAGGAAAGTTGAGGTGAATATTGATTTTCCCCTACACTTTTGGCAATTATGAATGAACTAAACTCAAATGTGGGTCGTTCTCATTCGCCGTGTGGACTCTAAATTAAGACTTAGTGGGTTTTCACTCGTTTCTACCAAAAAGAACCAACGCAAACTTTTAATTTTACCAACGGATTTTTTAAATTTTAGCGATGATTATTTGTTGTGTGTAGTACCGCCACCTGTGGCGCGCATAGTCAATTCCCTTGCGTTTGACGTTTACACACTACCGCAATTTGATGGCGGTAGTGTTATAGCGACGATATTCGACAGTGAGAAATCAGTGCCAACATTTCAAAGGGGCGTAATTGCTTTTGTAAACAATGGCTTTAGCTGTCGATTTCTCGCTAATAAAAGCCCACCCCTCCAAATTATCAATGCTAGCTGGGACAGGAAACATTCCTCTACCTCATGCTTGGCATGCACAGTTGTACACACCAACTGCTCATTTGGTAATAACTTTTCTCTCAGATATTGAAATTTATTTTTCTTTAAGGTAATTGATAGATTATGCTCATAGTTTACTATAGATATGCGAAGATTAGGTAAAGCTTGACATTTGAATCAACACTAATCAATTTAACACTTAAATTTTGAGATGTGTAGTGAGCCTTTCTCACCTCATTTTTACAACGCAAAAACAAATACAGTTTACTACTAGCATTAAAATCTACTTTTTTTTACATATCTATAACAAGCTTACACTCTATTCTATCTACTGCTTCAAAAAGAACTATGTTCCGTCAACTGTGTGCAAAGTTATTAGAAAATAAGTAGTTCGTGACCAAAACTGTGTATGCCAAGCATGCTCTACCTGTTGGTGTCGTTCATTTCCATGAGTGAGCTTTCATTCGCGAGAAATCGAAGGCGAAAGTCATTGTTTACAAATGCAATTACGCCTCTTTGAAATGTTGGCACTGAAATATTAAATGTGCTATATCTGTTTGTCTGTAGTTTAATGTCAAATTGATTAAATTTTAAGCAAAATGAGGAAGTTTAATTTATCAGTGTAGCGCCGCTCCTCCTTACCTTCTCCGTTTACACGCTAACTTGAAAGTACTCATTAATGAGTAAAAAAAGACCCATTTTGAAGAAAAGTGGCTTAACTCATTAATGATTAAACAATTTTACCCATTAATGAGTATCTGTTACCCATTAAAGATTAAAAATTACTCATTAATGGGTAACAGATACTCATTAATGTGTAAAAATAATGAGTTAAGCCACTTTTCTTCAAAATGGGTCTTTTTCAACCATTAATGGGTACTTTCAAGTTAGCGTGTACCTCATTGTATGAAAAGCTCGATTAAAAGCTCTCGTCGTGACGCGCGTTTCGGTTTGCGATCTTACTCACTCACACTCACTCACTCAGCGTCCAGCGACACATTCGAACGAGAACGTCGTCCATTTTACTTCCCTTTCCGATGGAGCAGTCGGTCGCCATTTTCGCGGTGTCCTCTGGCGATTAAAGTTGATCCTGTCGGTGTCGTAAAATAGATGTAAATTAGAGAAAAAAGTGCTTGTTGAGTAGGTATGTGAATAGTGACATAAGTGTAACGTTCCGATTATCAGATCCATTGTACCAGTAAAGAAAAAAAAAATGACCGACGCCGAAAGTTGCGAGAAATCGGTGCACGAATGCAGCAGCAGCATGGCGCTACAGACGAGCAGCGGTTCCGGTTAGTTTTTGCTGATATAATATCCCGCAATTTGAATTTTTACTCCAACCTAACTGTAGTGAGTGAGGCGGAGCTGAACAACTTTCCATGTCAGCAGCTGGGTTTGGATGGTTCCTCGGGCAGTGCTACGACAGGATCGGTGGAAGAACAAAAGTGCAATCTACCATACCCCATTATTGTGGACAGCTCGGTACCGAAGATCTACCGTAGCGACTACCCGGTAACGCAGATCAACGGTTGTCGACAGTATGGGCCACCGAAGAACTGGACCGGTCAAATTCCCGGCTTCGGATGCGAAATCTATGTCAAACGCATTCCGCCGGATTTCACCGAAACCGAGTTGGTTCCGGTGTTCGAGCAATTCGGGAAGTGAGTAGATGGGTTTTTTTTCTTCTAGAGAAACGATTAAGAATATAGATTTTCTTTCCATCAGACTGTACGAGATGCGCCTGATGATGGATTACAACAATCAGAACCGTCGGTACTGTTTCGTTCGGTACACGACCGAGGAGGATGCAAAGCTGGCGATTGAGGTCCTCAATCATCACTTCGTGCGGGACAGCCAAACTCTGGAGGCACAAAAGTCGTTCGAAAAGTGTCGCCTGTTTGTCGGAAACCTTCCGAAGGATCTCGATCGTAAAACGATCGAAATCGCATTCCGGTCGTTGTTTCCGGAGATGACCCGGTTTGTGATGCACAACCGCATTGCTGATGGGGACAAGAACAGGGGATTTGCGTTCATGGATTTCCCGGACCATGGTGCGGCACTGCGGGCTAAGAAGCAAACCACTCCTGGATGCATGCGCATATGGGATCGGGATATCAAAATCGTCTGGGCAAATCCGCAACGATCGTTGGACCATTCTGGAGTGGATGAAGTCAAAACGTTGTTCGTGAGGAACATAGACCTGACGGTCAACACGAAGGAGCTGTACAACTTGTTTGTCCGGCTGGTTCCTCGGCAGGACATAATTAAAATTTCCCGGGTTCGTGAGTTTGCGTTCGTTGAGTTTGCCCAACGGGAGCAGTGCGAGGCGGTAATGCATGCCGTTCAGGGGTACGTGCTGAACAAGTTTCCCCTGGACATTGAATGGGCCATGCCGCCGCTCAGGTGAGTTTCGATGGTAGTTTTTTTTTCTTATATTCTTTGGAATACGCTCTCGAATGTAAAGTTTCCCCTGCTCCCGTATGTGTCCGTTTGCTTTAGTTCTTAGATTTTAGAATCTATTTCGACCGAATTACCTCTCTGACACGCCGAAATAACCCTTAGACCCACCTACAGGAATACGTTCCACAATATGAAGAATTACGACTTCGACTCACTGTTGCGTATCAAGTGCATCGCCAACGGTTGGGATCTTCCGATCATCATCTACGGGCGAACGTTCACACTGAGTTGTCTTCAGTATGTGGCCATCATCTTCCGGCACAAGGGACAAGTGCATACGTACTATGCAGAGGTTCACATGAACGGATTGGTCGACATACAGAGCAGGGTTTGCGAAGCGATGATCACGTTGATATTGGAGGGCGGAATACTCCCCGAACCGCATCTGGTACTGAAGATAAAAAACGACTCGATGAAGCTGGGTAAGACCTCATGGTCATATTTTAAGGAAAAATCTCCAATAACTATAACTCTCTTCCCTATTGTTAGTTGGTTCGGTTTCCTCGGTGACTCGCCCGATCCTCAATCTGGCCCGTGACGTCGATCGTTCACTGGAACTGTTCTGGAACGAGATTCTTGATCTGTGCGCGGCCGCCAACCAGCTGATCAAGTACTCGTTCGATGATCTGTACGCCCTCTACCGGCGGGAGGTAGAAAGTGGTCTACCCTTCCCGTATCTGGAATCGATCACACTCAACGGTCGCATCATCGGTTGTCTCGACCAGTCCTTCCGCCGCCGACCGCCGCTTAGTCGCAAGTTGGACAACCGTGAAATCATCTTCGTTCTATGCGATCAGTACAGCTTGACAAACTACAACTTCGCCAAGAAGAACACCTACATCGCCGAAACGCTCTCGTCGATGGAACACACCGGTACCTCCACGTTCAAGTACAAGATCCTTCCGATGCTTCCGTCCCGTTTCGTACAGGCCAACAGCGGTCGTGAATTCAAGATCGACGCCGTCTACTTTGGCCTTAATCCGTACTCCGTCGTCGAAATGGATCCCAACAACACGGGCTATACCTACCAGTTGCTTCCGTTCCACCCCACGAACATCCCACCACCGCCGCAGGCGATGTTCAACGCCATTGCTGCACCGGCAACAGCTCCACCAACGACATTCTACGGCGATATGAACTTGATGACCCAAGCCATGCAACAGCTTGGACTAGGTTCGGCTGCATTCCCACCGCAGGCGTTCTATGGACAACAGGCACCACCGCCTCCGCCACCGGGAGGACTGATGGCACCATCGTTTTTCTACAACATGTGAAACACCCCTCCCCCCTCAGGACTTATGGTAAGGCAAAGTAGAACCATTTTTTTTTATTAATGATTTTTTTTTCTCTGGATTTTTGAATGACATTTTACTTTCGGACATTTTTTCATTATGCTGTGGCATTGTTGTTATCATTGACTGTATTTTAAGCTTCAAAAGGTTTTTGAAAGTTTTTAAACATTAATCGTTTATTTCAACTAGGAATAGGTGAATGAAACCCGAATGCATCTAATTTTAGCACATAAGTGTTTTGTTTCACTGGCTTTCATAAAAAAAAAACATTTCTTAACACAATCTAAGGAATTTGTCTTGTTCTGATGACGGTTCTCAGGAACTTGGAAGAAAGCTTGGGTGTTCGTTCCCGGTGCGGGCTGGAGAAGTTGACGTGGTAGAGGCCGAATTTTTCGCTGGAATGGTACAGTAATAGGGATATTAATTCGAAAATAATACATTTTAGGTTACATCCAGAAATCTACACGATAAGAAAAAAGTATCCACAGGTAGGTTCTTTTCACTCATCTCGGCACTATAGCGCAGGAAGTCAAAAGTAGGTAAAGTGGGTCAAAGTAGTTTTCATTAACTTGTGTGCAATTCGTATGGATTTTCCACTCGCTGTCTACCCAAAAGTAAGTTAGTTGTACCCAAAAAAAGGTCAATATGATTGTACTGTTGGGTATGATTATACCAAAGACAAACAGAAATAACACAAGGAATATTTTTCAATATAAAACATCGTCACTAAAACACTACCGCCATATTTTGAGTATATTGTTTTTATAGACACTAGAGCGTCTATAACTGTAATGGGTAGTACGTTGAACAGATGGCGTTAGTGTGTAAACGTCAAACGCAAGGGTTTATTGAATTTGCGCGCCACAGGTCGCGGTACTACCAACTAAATAGATTTAAATTTACCGTTAAATGCGTGTTCGATGAACAAATTTCCAGTGTTATGTCTGTTTGTCTGTGATTATACGTAGGGTTTCCACAGTGTTTGGTGGGTGGTTTTGCTCTTTCGTTTTTGACAACATTAGAAGGAGACAAGTCTAAATAGAGCTGGAATGAGGGCGTAAGAGCTTTTGTAAATAATGACTTCTCTCGATTATTTCTAGGAATTAAAGGCGCACCCACGCAAACCAAAATAACCATCGGGTATGGGAAGACTTCCCCTACCTGATGGTGATATTGATTTGCTTGGGCGAGTCTTGAGTTTCTAGAAATCATCGAGATAAGTCATTGTTTACAAAAGCTGTTACGCCCTAATTCCAGCTCTATCTAGAAGTCAAACGTAGGTAAAAGTGAACTGGCCGTTGGGTACTCACACTAGTTCGATTCGAGTTGTCCAATAGAGATCTTCAACCGCAATCTCACGAACACTAAAATCCAACATCCATATATAAAAATGAAGAAGAAGAAGAAGAAGAAGAACCAAAAAGGTATCGCGATATCACAACTACTTAAAAAGGTAGCGCGCGGTCTCACGCACACTTTTGTGCATCTAGAGAACTCTATAGAGATTTTTTCACGTCCGGTTGTATTGGTGCGATATATGGAATTACATCGCTGAGTGCTGTTTCGAAACTATTCGAGCTTGTTATTATGGAACCGTTGCTCTCTCGCAGCAAGCAGTCCCCCCTATTCTGCGAGTCACGTGACTCTCTCTCACCGGTGAGGTGACAATAGTCACCTCGTGTGAGGTGACTCTCCATTTGATTTGCATGGAGAGTCACCTCACACGAGGTGACAATTGTCACTTCACCGGTGAGAGAGAGTCACGTGACTCGCAGAATAAGGGGGAGTATCTGAGTGCTGGTCAACACGGTACCGATAGACTGAACGGGTACAGACGGACGTTATATATACCGATCTACCCGCGGCATTCGATAAGTTGAATCATGACATTGCGATTGCTAAACTCGACAGGCTTGGGGTGAGCGGTAATCTCTTGCGTTGGTTCCGTTCGTATCTTACTGGTCGCCAACTTATGGTTGCTATAGGAGATTGCAAATCAGCTAGCTTCTTTGCCACATCAGGTATACCGCAGGGAAGCCATCTGGGACCGTTGATTTTTCTACTCTACTTCAACGACGTGAATCTGGTTATCGAAGGACCTCGATTATCATATGCAGACGACCTCAAAATATTTTTACGAATTTGCACGATCGCTGACTGCCACAATCTTCAACATCAGCTTAATGTCTTCGCCAGTTGGTGTACTTTAAATCGAATGGTAGTGAACCCAGCAAAGGGCTCTGCCATAACGTTCTCACGATAAAAGCAACCGATTTTATTCAGCTATGACCTGCTTGGAACGACACTCGAACGCGTGAATCAGGTGAAAGACCTGGGTGTGGTGTTGGATTCACAGCTAACATTCAGGCAACACATTTCTTATGTCATCGATAAGTCGTCTAGGACTTTAGGATTCATCTTCAGGATAGCTAAGAATTTCACCGATGTCTACTGCTTAAAATCTCTTTACTGCTCCCTCGTACGATCGACGCGTGAGTATTGTTCTGCGGTTTGGAATCCGAATTACAACAATGGTGCCGAGAGAATCGAATCTGTTCAACGTCGCTTTCTTCGTTTTGCGCTTCGTAGACTGCCCTGGAGAGATCCGCTTCGGCTGCCCAGCTACGAGAGTCGCTGACAACTGATAAACCTTGAACCTCTCCGGATTAGAAGGGACACCAGCAGAGCTTTGATTATCGCCGACACTCTACAGGGACGAATAGATTGTGAGGTTATCCTGGGGCAAATTGACCTAAACGTGCAACCCCGACCACTCCGTAACAACCTCATGCTGAAACTGCCACTGCGTCGCACGAACTACGGGGCATTTGGTGCGATTTGCGGACTACAGCGTGTGTTCAACAGAGTCGCATCTGTATTCGACTTTCACCTCACACGTGATGCGCTTCGTCGGAGCACGTCGACTGACAGAGAAAATTCAAGAGCAAATTTTCATTACGTCGAATGTAACAAAGGTAAACAAAGTCGAGCTATCAGTGTCAATCGATTCTCCTGTTATTACACTATATACTGTCCGAATATAGGATCAAATCCCATTTTTAAATTTATTTACCAGTCAAATTACTTTTCGACGTAATCACCTTCCGATCAAAATAGTTTTCGATGTTACTTAAGTCACCCAATTTCTATGGAGATGCCGTTTGACTTAAGTAACAGCGCTGAGAAACCCGTGAAAAGTGTACGTTCGTCGTTTCACTTTCTCATTATTAAAGTGAATAAATCGAACTGTTTGTTGCTAAGATGATTTCGGTGGTCATAAAATCAGTGCCAACATTTCAAAGGGGCGTAAACAATGACTTTAGCCGTCAATTTCTCGCGAATGAAATCTTACCTCTCCAAAATTACAATGCGAGCTGGTAGAGGAAACATTCATCTACCTGCTGGTGTCATTATTTTTCATGAGTGAGCTTTTATTCGCGGGAAATCGACGGCTAAAGCCATTGTTTACAAATGCAATTACGCCCCTTTGAAATGTTGGCACTGAAATGATGAATGGGCTGCACGTAAGGAGACGTAATAGGGGCCACCAAACGACGCATAATAACTTTTGACTCAAAAACCAGTATTTTTTAGCATGAAAGCTAGAGATTTGCATTTGTATGATTAAAATCCGGCTAAATATGTTAAACATTGCAATCACTATAAGATTATATGTGTTTAATTGGAAATAGGAATAACTTTTCGTTTATCAAAACAAAACTTAATTTTTCTCGGATCGGTGCGAATGTTACTTACGACATAATGAAAATTTGCTCTTGAATTAGTGTATTTCCATTTTTTTTTTACATTCTGACCATGTTGCTTTGTTTTTCTTTCTGTGATTATTTGACATGTAATTTTACTATTATTAGTATTATGATTAGTATTATTAACATCATTTGGGCTACAGCCAGCCTGTTGATGTATGGCAACAATAAATAAATAAAAGAGAGCGTGTCAGTGAAATTCCGAGGAAAATACATGACAAATCGCTGTCAAACTTGTTTTGACAATTATTATAACTTCACACATTTTTTAGGTTAGCCAGACGAAAAAAATAAACTACTACAATAAAACGCAAAGTAACAAAGGTGGGAAAGTTCCGGTTCAAAATCACGGTCAACTCAGCAGAAGCCAAAATCAAACTGCCCTAGGGCAGTTGAATCTGGCAAACCAAAATATCAGGCAATACGATCCGAAAATAAGGAGAAAAACCATATGCTTCATCAGAGGGGTACAAAGAGAGTTCGAAGAACAGGACATATTGGACAACATCGACACGGAGCACGAAATACTGAAGATCGAGAGAATCCGAAGGAAAACCGGAGACGGGGGGACCTAACTAGCACGAACAACATCAAGATGACTGTAAAGGGACAAAACATGCCACAGAGAATAAGAATCTTCGGATGCTGTTTCTCAGTGGAACTTTACGTCTTCCCGATCCCACAATGCAGGAACTGCTGGAAGTACGTAATTTCTGCACTGGTAGGGCTCGGTGCAATACCTGCGGCAAGAATCACGAGGGGAGCTGTTCATCTCACCCCAAATGTCTAAATTGCAAACAAGGACACGGAGTGGACGACGGATCATGCCCGGAGAGAAAAAGAAGACAAGCCATTCTAACGGACATGAAGAAGGAAGGTTCATCATACGCTCAAGCAGAGCAGCACTATCCGAAGCTCTCGAACCGGTTCAATGGTCTGGAGTAGAGTCGGTGTATAATGAGTCACGCCAAGAGAAAAACAGTTGAACTCGCATCACGGTTTTCAAAAGATTCCCATTATTTTCACTTGGCAACAGAGGACTATGACTTCTAGCGAGAGAAAAAATTGCGGCTGTAGTAAATCATTATATCAGTGATTTTGTCAAATTATCTTAACAAAAAATAGTAGCAATCCTCATTACTGATCATTACCGAACGTATCCCATAACAATTTAATACTCACTGTATGTTTATGCTCATTTCTTCGATTATATGTTATATTTTATTGCAATACCTTTCGTGGACCTTTCATAGCATCGTAATGTTTGTTTACTTTGCCCGATAGGTAGCCGGTTTGACAGTTCAATAGGTAGACTTGGCTTCACTCTTGGCGTGACTTATTATACACCGACTCTAGCAGGAACAAACAACCAACAGGGAGGAAAGGCAGGAGGATCGGAATTACGAAGCCCAAGAAAAACGAGGAGTAGGGAATCATCAACATCAACAATGAATCAAGAAAGGAGAGATCCAAACCCCGTGGGACAATGCTGGAGGACAAGCAACAAGGAGGAGTGCAGAAGATGCGTAGAAAACGCACTACGAACGACCGACATCGAACGCTTCATCTCTAAACTTCGACAGCTGTTACTACTCGAAATAAGGACGAAAAGATGGCTGGGATCGCTC